CTTTGGTTACTCGGCAAAAATTATTGGAACTGGGTTGGTATGTTTCGTCACACCCACCATATAGCCCTGACCTTGCGCCTTCGGATTACCATTTGTTTCGTTCCATGCAAAACTCTTCAAATGGTAAAATTTTTAACAACGCGGATGATGTCGGATCACACCTAATTCAGTTTTTTAATAGCAAAGACCAGACATTTTACGAACGGGGAATTTTTACTCTGCCAGAACGAAGGAAAAAGGTCATCGACAAGAACGGCCAATATCTAATTGAATAAAGTTATATTTTTAAACAAAAATTCCGAATTTGCCTTCTTATTTGAAATCAGCAATGACTTAGTTGCCAACCTAATAGATCGATCGACTCAAAGGAGAGATGATGGGGAGGGAACGAAAAGATGCCCAAAACAATGAAAAAATATTGGAAAACCACATTTTTTCCTCAATATTTTGAATGCGGCATGTGTAACACCCTTTGTATTATGTATATTTCGAGTTGAAAAATTCAAAATGAGGGCTTTTACATCTGGATTACTGAGCGAATTTGTATCCACCGTATTCCACGAGCGTTGATTGCAACTCAAACCCACTTTTTCTCTCAAATGTTGTGATTGCTTGATTGTTAGCGGTCTACTCTCTTTCCACCTCTCAGAGCTGAGATAACTGATTTTTTGTAAATTAGTGTAAAGCTCTGTGGTTTGCTATTTCGGCCAAGGTCAGACTGGTGTATTAGTCAGCTCGCGTATTCCTCTCATTCTAAATCAGCACTCATTCCCCCCACCCCCCACCCCCACCCTTGTTAGTAAAATGACTGATACCTTCTCTCGCATACTTCGAGTTTCCTATTAACCAAATATTCTTGTCATGGGTAATCTTGGCTCAGAACTGACAAGCTATTCCTTGAAAGTCAATAGGGTAGTTTCTGTAATAATTGAAAAAATGCATTAGAATCTCTATTTGAAGAGGCCTGAAAGTTGACAAAATTAAACAGAAAGCTGTTGCTAATGGGTTAATTACGGAAATGAGGTAAATAAGCTATTTGTTAACATATTGTGCTTTTGCTGGTGTTATTTACTTATAAATTTGATTCGTAGCTAACTTTAAATCAAATAATACATGCTTTTTTGCCATTAAGGCGTTGTAGCCTTTGACTAAGAGGTTGTAACCTCTGCCCTTTATCATATTTTCCAATTAAATGCCAATGAGTTGGGTGTTTGCGGAGTTTTAATGAACGCACCCCAATGTTCTTCAAGACTTGAACTTCTTTCCAGTAACCTTGGCTGTGCACATGTAAAAATATATCGCATTTTCGTGACTAAATACGAAAACAAAGCAATTGGACGAAAGGAGGTGAAAACAATGGATTAAATCTCATTAATGAGGATGGGATTTTGGACTGCTGTTGAATGAATTTTCCACCGTAATACATATAACGGTGGCAATTGGTTGTTTTTTTTCAGATGTGCTAAAGTTGTTCCTTCGTATACAAGCCAATGCGACTGACCTCACTTGATTCATGGTAGAGAATAGCTAGTGCCATGATGATTCATTCTGGTCATCTGAACAAGGAGCGTATGGATACAGCTCATAGTCTCCCCCTCTGCACATTGTTGAAGGACCCCTCCATGAACACTGGTGAGTTGTAAATGGTGACTACGAGGCTGCTGTGGTTGGAATGAATCAACATAGTAGACTATCTGGTTGCAAGCATTCAGTAGAATTCAATAAAGATGGCTTGACCAATACAGAGTCCAAAGGGTAGTTTTAGAGTAATGAAGATTAAATTTCCCCAAAATGAAAAATTTTTCGTGTGTGTCCTTCTTCGGGAGTGTGACGAAAAGCCTTACTCAGAATTTGATTAAATAGGGGCTCAGGTTGAAATCGAAAGTCCCATGGACCCACTAGACACTGTAATATTTGAGACACAGATAGCGATTGATGGTTGGGCAAAATAGTCCATATGAATGATGGCAGCAGAGTTCAGCCTTGTTATACCTCGCATAAAATAATAAAAGGTTTCATTCATGCGAATTTTGCGCTGGGTTCCGAACTCTCCAGTCCTTAACCCGTTGGACTATTGTGCTGTGAAGAAAGCCACTAACCGTTGAGCCAGATCTACGAAAGTTCCTTATGAGACCATTTCAAGGGAAATTGTAAGATCATATTGTTTGAGGTTAGGGGACCGGTGAGGTTCTTTTGATTAAGCTCCTTCTCAATAATTTGCTTCAATATCTATTGAATTTATGTTGGATTCATCTCGTTATTTTCATGGTAATGATGATTCTGCTTCATTTATTCCGGATACACTAGAGAACTTTAGATTTAGATTTTAGACATGTACATCCCATAATGACTCTCTTATGCTTTCACAATTAAAAATAACTTGATAACTATTTATTTAACCTAATAACACATAATTTGGTTTTTTGCCTAGCTAATTTAATTGAAAATTCGAACCACTTTATATATGAGTTTAGTGCCTTTGATCTTCAAATGTAATTACACTATTGATAACTCACTTAGAAACAAGTCGGTCACATTTGTTAACCTTTTCTCGACCCTACAGGGATAAAGCATTGTGTTTCTAGGTTAACATTGCGATAAAAATGCTTACATTTTTTCTGATGCGCGTTTTTAAAACATTAAATTCTGATCAAACAAATTTTCTTTAGCGTTAATATCCAAGGAATTCGAAAGAGTAATTTGGTTACATGTCAATAATGTTCCTCAAAGTATTCCTTCCGATGAAAGTTACTTTAATTATCTCTTGATTGAACAAATTGTATTTAAACGATTTGTGATCTTTTGAAGCCATTCAATTCCCGAGACCAAAGTAATACACTTAATTGATAAGTGATTAAGAAACAGAAAAAATTGCTAGGTTTCTCAGAACTTATTATCGTGGTGACATTGCATGCCTTTATTTTCCCCTAGTTTATATGATAGGGATGACAACAATGAATGGTGTGACTAAATCATGTATTGATAAAAATAAGACGGAACAATTTTGGAAGAATTAAAGACGTGATAACTAATTTTAGTTTGATAATGGAGTACAATAACAAACTAAAAAATTCAATGGTATTCGCACACTTGAACTGAATTATTCCTAAATTATAGATGAAAATCTACTTTGCAAAAGTTGGGTAATGGCGAGAGAGTTTCAAGAAAAAAAATTAACGTATTATAATACCAATCGAATGCAAATTCATGAATTAAATAATCATATTAGGTAAATAGGAGGTAATAATTTACTTAAAACCTGGACGTTTTAATATTTTTTACTTCTTCTTTAATTTCTGTAGATATGCATCGTTACAAATAACGGCCTAATATTAATAAATCATAAGCTTATTTAGGGAAGCTTTTCTAAAGGTATTTTGGTAGGGAATGTCATTGGGTATACTTGGTCCTCAACTCGAGTTCAATTACCATTTAAATTAACAAAAGTTAACTAGTGCAGATCTATTAACTGAGCAAATTTATATATATACATTTATTATTTACAAACTAAGTACTTTTGAAACTTAATATCTAAGGTTTGATAATGGAATATTCAGATTCTATTACTGAAAATTACATGACCTTAGTTCACTTTGTGCCTGCGCCCGTTAGCCTTGATGTTTGCTTAACCATTTGCCGGGGTTGAAACTGTAGTAAGGCAATTTGAAGAAGTGTTCAATGCGTGATTTTCAGTTATTAATTCCTTGACTTCTAAGACATTTTAATTATTTAATTGAATATTTTTACTTTTTAACTTGTTTTTTTATTAATGCATTGTAAACTTTTTTATTTAAGGCTCCTAATTAATTTCATTTGTTGTTAACATGGCAATTTTATACGCAGAAATCAATAATGGGTAATCCACGTAAAAATATGCAAAAAAACTCTTTCCAGACCTCAGCTCGAAGGTACAGTCGACGAGCTCTTTGAGATTCACTTATTTACCTTTAGAACGTCTGCGAATTCTTCGAATGTGCTTGAAAAAATAGCTATCAAACAGATTCACCACATTTCTTTCCCCCACATTCCAATACAGGGAACTTTTGGCTTTCATGTTACTAGGCTAATTTTCTCAATTATTACCCTATGTTTGCAGTTTCTCAATATCTATCGAACGGTTTGGTGGCTCGGAAGACCAGGAGTCAAGTACCCGATTGTGAGTCTCCCATTTTTAGCTTAAGATGCAGCCCTGCGACTAATTTGACTTCTTGGGGGTATTCGCGCTTAAAATTTTCAGATCTGGGGGCTTTATCGTAACTGCTGAAAAATATTAGCTTATTACATGATCAATAACTCTCAATTTTGCGCTATGGTGAATATTTACTAAAATAATTTGCTTATCAGATGTTATCTATGGGAATTTCAATGCAACAAGGCTTGAATTTTCGGTATCTATTGTGGATTTTATCTAGATTTGCTCAAAATTAGATAGCTTAACTCATTTCCTAGTTCAATTTCGAACTTTGTTTATTTTTAAGGTTTATTTAATTTCTGATACTCTCCTGCGAGAGGATTTTTATCTTCTTTTCCAGTTCAATTTTCTTTTTTATTTATTAGGATATTGACAATATCGATTTCCATTTGGTGTACTACATTCTTCTAATGCTACTCATATCACCTTTTTACGAAGCATTTCAAAATGTAAGTTGGTGTTTCTTCCTAATTTACTAATTTTATTTACAGATCTACTGGAGATCGAAATCGTCTTTTCGGAGTTCCTTTTGTCTTTTAACAGGAATAATTGGATTTATCTTATGGTGTTTAGTTCAATTTCATATGATTATGCGCATAAATTACGATTCCTTCCTATTTACACACCCTTATTTTGGTGTCCTTCTTGTGATTTACCAGTAAGTCATGTTCGATTTATTGATTTATCGCTTCAAATGTCCTTTGAGTAGTTCATGCCTTATATCTTCAGACCGATGATCTTCCTCTTCGTCTATTATTATGAATCTGCGAGGTACATTTGCAGACTTGCTATGGAAGAGGCTAAATCTGTAAACTTCAAAGAGCGTTTGAACTTTATAACAAATCAAGTCAAAGCCGCTTTTCACTCTCTTCTTTCCTTGAGATCTAAATTAGTAAGCGATCGCTTCTTTGCGCAATCATTATAATTTATTATGTCGAACCATTTAAACACGTTGAGAGAGAGAAAGAGAAAGAGGTCCATCGGTGTTTTTTTGAGGATCAGGTGGTTGTGTGAGTTAAGGTATAAGAGAGGCCTAGTTCCACATTCATCAGGCCAAGGTCGTTTCATCCATTTTTATTTAGATAACCTTTATAATAGTATGGCTTTTGCAGCCAGCCCTATTTTTTATAGTCACTATTTACCAGAAAGTGCGTCAGTTGTTAGACCCTCATTAGGTTTGTGCCTTTCTCATTTCACTTTAATTTATCGAATCGATAACGCGGGGTTCTTATAAAACAGTAAATCCGCTTTTTATCACTCACATTTCCATCATTGGTTAAAGATTGCTAATACGATTGGTAAATTAATTTATTTGGGTCATCATTCAAGTGACATCTTTCTCACGGAACACCTGTTTAGTATCGACATGAATTCGCTCCAACCAACTATTTGTGCTAGTAAATCTGAGGGATTTCCATGAAGACCGAGAGGCACTTTGATAGCAAAGGGTTTAGTATTCATATTCTTTCTGCTGCATGAAATCAACACTATTCGTTTCCTTGTGCTCTGAATAGCTTTTAATATATTACCATGTATGTTGAAAAAAAAATTATCGCTAGTTAAACTATGCACCAAGACTGGAGATGGGATTTCAATGGCTTTGCAAGTAGTGGATCGTTGCTCCTTTGAAGAACTGCAGACATTTACAACGATTGCATCCTATATCGTTTTGATCTCATTTCTAGTCAGTTAAGCAGTTCATTTCCTGGGACGAAGCCCGTTCGAAACCTGGTTCTCTGACATACAAGGTGCCACGGTATAGTCCATTCATGCCTATCCGTTACGCCACCGTTCAGCACCCAGCGTTCAGTTACACCGCCACGTTTTACACTCTTCAAACGACGCCTAAGCAACAGCATTTGGTGGTTCTACGGCACAATTGTGCTCGATGCTGCCCAGCTACTAGCGAAAACGCTGCCCAAGTGGTGCGAGACGAGGTAGATGCTCTCTCTGCGGACTTTAATGCGAGATTATTTGATACTATCATGGGAACAGCTGCATTGACCTTCTATTGCACTATTCTGCCCTGCTTTTTTGTGAAGGTGAGCTGCACCGCCCTCTTCTTTACCTTTGAGTTTCTTGCCCATTACCGGGGTCTTCCGGGGGTTAAAAGTTAAAATGCAGACTTACTGCTTTTCTCTATTTGGGACTGAGGCTTGACTTTCCCCATTCAGGACGAGTGATTTGGTTCCAAAAATTTATTTATTTCAAATGGCTGGCGTTTTGATAGCTATCATTAGCCATTTAGCTGACTTCGGGCTTCACAGAGGGAAGGTTCATCAAAGTAGCAGAAAGTCGAGGGGTGGGGAACAGAAGAGCGATTCACAGATTTAGAAGAGACAGACAGACACAAAGGTAAAGAAAGGGTGAGGTGAGTATTGTGAAGTGGTGAAATATGACATACAGTAGGGTCATGGTAGTTTGAAGTCAGAAGTCAACTGCCGGTTAATAGACTTTTTTGCCGTTTATCCACTCTGGGCGGATTTTCGGAGAAAAAACCGGTATTATCATTATGAATTTCCATTTAGACGTTCTAATTATTCGAATGCATTTAATCAAATCGAACATCGAATTCCTGAAGTATTTTTATTTCTTAAGAGGTATAGCTCATTATTTCATGTTTCGTGTTCGTCTCCATCGATTTGGGGGGTAAAAGTTAATGCCCGGGATGTTCGGAGCTGTTTAACTCGTGCTTTAATGGAATGGCTGATCCATTCCATGTTGCATTACGGTTTTCTCCTGGATGTAGTATCCACGAAGTTCTCAACAGAGCAGAGTGCAATACGAAGCATGCTCACTTTGTCAATTCCGGTTGACAATTCTCATGGTTT